TTTTTTTTCTTTTATAGAAAAAGTAGGCCAGCGATTTAAAAAAAAAAAAAAAACTTATTTCAATTTTAATTAGGTTTCAGATTTAAAAATCAAAAACCAACAGTTGGATTCAGAAAACACAGAACTCAGCCAAAAGAACTCCCAAAACAAGGAAGAACTGCAAAACCTTAATCAACGTCTGGCAGAGGCACTGTGCCAGAGGGAGGAGCCAGGAGCTTGCAGCCCCGAGAAATGGGAACAGGAGAACTCGAGTCTGAGGGAAGAGCTGGAGCGCTGCAAAGTGCAGGTAGGCCCTCCGGCCATGCTCACCTTCGCTCGCGCAAGCCAGAGAAGGCAAAGAAATTTCTTCAGACGTAAGACCTTAATTATTCAATCAATATGGTACTGGCACATTAATATGTCCTCCAGATATATCAGATATGTGAGAGGGATAGTGCATCCCCCAGCAAATGGAGAGCGAGCTCATGGAAGCATCTGCAAGCTATGAATAACACACTGGTGAATTCATCTCAGCTGTGATCAAAGAGATCTTTTTACAAGAGCATTACGCTTGTGCCAGATAACACAGACTTCCTGTTTGTTATTGTTGTTGTTCCCCAAAGAACACAGGTAACAAATATTTACTTAGGTTTACATTCTCCTGCTGGAGATGAGTTGAATCTACAAGCAAATGTAAACAAAAGTTCTATGCAAATACTGGACCCATTTATAAAGGGCCTTGAGCACCCAAGGATTTGGCTCTCTTTGGGTGGGTGGGGGGGCACTCCTAGGACTAAATCCCCCATAGATATCAGGAGTAAGTATGTGTGTAATCCAAGTGTCTTCTCAAATCACTGGGGTCAAAATAGAGGGGCTTTTTTGTTTTGTCTTATTTGTTTGTTTTTAAGCACCTAGACAAATTAGTTAAATATTTAGGAATAGATTCAGATTTCATAAAATATAGAGATAAATCCCAACCACAGTAGAACACTGCATATAATAAATAAAGCTGTCCAAACATCAGAAAAACACATGTAGCTAGAGTTTTCCTGGTCCTGCCTGGCCCAAGGTCAGGACAAATCTCTCTCACCCGCCAGTCCCACAGCCGCTCTGACCCAACCGAGTAAACACATAGAGACTTATATTACTTATAAACTGTATGGCCATGGCAGGCTTCTTGCTAACTGTTCTTATATCTTAAATTAACCCATTTCTATAAATCTATACCTTGCCATGTGGCTCATGGCTTACTGGCGTCTTACATCATGCTTCTTCTCCTCATGGTGGCTGGCAGCATCTCCCTGCCTCAGCCTTCCGCCTCCCTGCTTTCTCCTCCTCCTTGTCCCGCCTACACTAGTCTTCCTGCCTGGCTACTGGCCAATCAGTGTTTTGTTTATCAATCAATCATAGCAACATGTATTTACAGCATACAGGACATCCCACAGCACACATGGGTGAAGTTGTCTTTAGCCACAGAGAGAAGAGATGCTGTCTCTCAATAAAAAAAAAAAAAAAAAAAAAAATTAAAAACCCTTGAAACGTAGGGAGAGAACTGGAGAGGTGGCCAGTGGTGTACTTAAGCTCCTGCAAAGCACCCTTTTGTCTGTTTCTCAGAACCCACATGGCAACTCACAAACCACCTATAGCTCCAGTTCCAGTGGATCTGATGCCTCTGCTGACCCCACACCTCCTGCATGCTCCTGCACACATGTGGTGCACATACATATGCATACAAGATAAAAAAATATAAAATAACTTTTTTAAAGAAGGAAAAAAAAATAAGGACATAAGAAAAATGTGATAGCAAAGTGGGAAACAAAACCAGGAAGAGAGGATTTTTTTAAAAGATTAAAATGACCCTCAAAGTTTCGAAAAGATACTCAAAATCACTCATAATTAGAGAAATGTAAAATAAATAGTACTGGCATGTAATTCCTCACTTGAAAGATCAGTATCTATTTAAAAAATACAGCAGCATGTTCTGTTGGCAAGGCTGTGTTGGCAGACATTTTCATATATTGTGGGAGTCCTACACTGATACCACCCATGTAGAGGTGAATTTGGCACTGCCTACCACTTACCTTTTGTCCAACAATCTTACTTCTAGGAATTTAGCCTCAAAATATCCCTGCAACAATATGAAAGGTCATATGCATGAGGCTATTCATTCCAGCTTCGCTCATATCTGCAAAGTTGTAAGAACCATCGAGATGCTTGCGCACAAAGGAGTGACTGAATTAAGTGTTGGGGATATATCCGTGCTATGGGTGGTCTTCTATAACTATTAAAAAGGGAGGAATATAGTTGGCAATGGTGGTGGTGCACACCTTTAATCCCAGCACTCAGGAGGCAGAGGCAGGTGGATCTGTGAGTTCGAGGCCAGCCTGGTCTATACAGCTAGTTCCAGGCCAGCCAGGGCTACAAAGAGAAACCCTGTCTTGAAAAACAGCAAAAACAAAACAAAAAGGGGACCATGAAAAGAATGAGAACAGTCCATAGGAAATGAGTTCCAGGACGTGATGTTAATTGGGTGGTGGAGCCACAGAGTGTCAACAGTGATCAACGCTGTGCTTCCATGCTTGTGAGGGGAAAGGGGAGATGTTAGAAAAGCAACGTGTGTGTGTGTGTGTGTGTGTGTGTGTGTGTGTGTGTGTGTGTGTGTGTGTGTCTGCCCTTTACGTAAAGGAATGGTAAGGCAGACACTCAAGAGATGGTGGCAGAGAAGTTGGCTGGGAAAGGCAGGGACGGTGAGATGGGAATGGGGTGGGAGGTCTGAGGAGGAGAATGACGCTCTGTGGAGTTCATCTTTGTACAAAGCTGGACTCATGGGTCTCACATGGTTTGTTTGTTTTGCTGTTTTTCTCCCAGTTCTGGGAATTTTGAGCTAGAGCTTTGCAACAGCTTGGCTACTCTAGTACTGAGCTGCATCCCATCCCTGTTTCACACGATCTTTATATACTCAAAGAAATAAAATCAATCATGGTGGCTGGGGGTGGGGTGGTACGGGAATAGAACACAAACACTAACAAACAGAGCTGACACTGTGTATAATATAACCACAGTTGGAAGAAAAAAAGAATTCACAGTCCATAAAATACTTTCATACTCTAATCAGAAATCATGATTCTTGTGGGCAGGCCTGCAAGCTTATTTTGTACATGCTAGAGGTGAATGAATAAGTGAATACAGCATAGGCCAAGGATGAGAACTATGCCTCTCACTGTTGGAAAAGAAAGCTGCAGTGTCAGTATGTGGAGGGCTAAGGTGAACCCTCTGATGTTGGTTCAGGGTCTGAGACATTGGTGTGTATACATAGTATATATACTGAGAGATAAAGAAACGTAGGTGTGTTTTTGTATGGCATAACCAGATCATGATTTCTAAATACCATTTTCCTATAAAAACACCTTGGAAAAAAATTACTGATTCTGAGGTCAGAACAGGAAAGATACAAGTTAAACCTGAAATGCCCCATGGTGCCAGACAGAAAAAAGTGCTAAAAAAAAAATAAATAAATAAAAATTAAAAATAGGTGGCTGGAGAGATGACTTAGTAGTTAAGAGCACAGCTGTCCTTACAGAGGACCTGGATTCGATTCCAGCACCCATATGGCAGCTCACAATTGCCTATAACTCCACCTCCAGGGGATCTGATATTCTCACACAAACATACATGCAGGCAAAATACCAATGCAAATAAAATAAAGTAAAACTAATAGGTCTTTGGTTTGTTTTTTTGTTTGTTTGTTTTTTTGGTTTTTCAAGACAGGGTTTCTCTCTGTAGTTTTGGTGCCTGTCCAGATCTCACTCTGTAGACCAGGCTGGCCTCAAACTCACAGAGATCCTCCTGGCTCTGCTTCCCATATGCTGGGACTAAAGGCATGTGCTACCTCTGCCCAGCACTAATAGTAGATCACTATTTAAAAACTTAAAATATGGACAAATTCAAAAGACTCACACACCCATGTAAAGGAACTTCCAATAGCCCAGACTCAAACAGTTTGATCAATGAACTACAGTACAGAATGAAATAATTATAGAATAAGTATAACAGATATCCGAGTACATGTTAGCATCAATTATTTGAATAAACAGACAAGCAGCTGCTCTTCCTACAGAATTCTAACAGATGCAGAAATGAAGGAAAAAGACGGAAAATCATCCTTAGGAAAACCCTAAGTGGTAGCTATTGCAGCCTGCATGCACTGGTAAACACTGGGATGAATAAGCAGAAATCCAAGGAAAGAAGCCTCTCCCAGGAGGTGACTTCAGTAGAGAAACATGCAAAGATGTGGCTCAGTCATTAGGCCCATGCTACACACATGGAAAGTTTTGGAAGATAATTTGATTTGTTCATTGAATATAAGGATAAATGATCTCAAAGCAATGCCATTGAACTGGCATTACTGTTTCCTAGGATTGCTTTCTAGGGGCTTAGTGAAGTTTCCCCAGCCAATGACTATGTCTGTTATATGCCTGGGGTGGTTTCCCCAGCCAATGAATATGTCTGTTATATGCCTGGGGTGAGGTTTCCCCAGCCAATGAATATGTCTGTTATATGCCTGGGGTGTGAGGTTTCCCCAGCCAATGAATATGTCTGTTACATGTCTGCTCTCTTTCTTAGACTTCCACTTTAGTGGCTTCTCTGGAGGCAGAACTTTCTGAAGTTAAACTCCAGACTCACACCGTGGAACAGGAAAACCTCCTTCTCAAAGATGAACTGGAGGAACTGAAGCAAGTAAGTCTGTGCTTGCGGCGTGGAGTGTGGAACTCTTCACACGCGCTTGATAATGTGCCCTCGGCACTGACATTGCTAACCAGCTTACTGCCTCGAATTGAGGACCTGAAGTGCAAGTGTGTTCATAAGGGCTCTGGTTGATAATTCAATAGTGAAACAGCTTATTTATAGGGTAGACTCTAAAATTCCATTGCTATGAATCTCAGTCATTTCAGTTTCAAAATTGTGTTTCTCCTGGCCAGATGAAAAAGTAACATTAGCTTGTCTGATGAGAGGGTGGCTTTCTGGCTCATGACTTCCAAAACCGTTCTTTGATTTCTGAAGACCCAAATGAAGTGGGTCCCACCCATGTCTTTTCTTTGTGGTGGTGGGAGTCACCTGGCTTAGGAGGATAAACTCTCCAGGGTCCTCATATCACACTCTCTTGCACTTACCAGGTTAACTTGTAGAATTTGCTATGATGTTGCCTGCTTGTAATCCCAGCACTCCGGAAACTGAGGCAGGAGGATTGTGAGTTCAAGATCAGTACAAGCTCCATGGCGAGGCCCTGTCTCAAAAAAAAAATTAGCGTGGTTTTTAGAAGGCTATTTCAGAGTTTCAAGGAAAGACTTAATTTTAAATATAGAGAAGGGCATACCTCAGGGGAAAAAAAACTACAGATGAAATATTGTCCGATCTCCTTTGTTTTTATTATGTGTAAGAATGTTCCCACTGTACCAATCTTGTTTTATAATAGAATGTAGTTGTTCCATTTATTTGCCCCACCCGCAGGTTACTTTAATACTTGTGCCATCAGACTGTAAATGTTCCCTCCTACATCTGTTCGCCCTGTAAGCATAAGGTGTCCCTCCCTAAATGCCGCTAACAGTCTTAACTAGGTTCACACTACCCTGTACCATACATGTCTGAGCTGATCGCTAGTTGACTCCCTTACCTAGTGATGGAGTAAGGCTCTCAGAGCACTGTGTCTCTGGTAATGCTTCTTCCAGGACTGGCACCAAACAAGTGTCTTAGAAGAGTTTTTCTTCACTGGGTACTATAGTGCAGAGTGTGTCTCTCCTGCCACAAGTGGAAACTCCGTTTGTTCCATATAAACATGCAGGAAGCTAACATCCACAGTCTTTCTGTGAGGTGAGAGTATCCCAGAGCCATTGATGCCAAGTTTGTTAGAATTAACTCCAGTCCCCCTCTCCCCCTGTACCTCTGAAAGCATTGCTTACTGACCCTTTCAGTGATAATGACCAACCCATGTGCATACTCTGTGGGACGTATGCCAATCAGTTCATGTGCATAACATGTGGGATGTATGGCAATTAATTCATGTACATATCATGTGGGATGGATGACAATTAATCCATGTACATATCATGTGGGATGTATGCCAACCAATCCATGTGCACACCGTGTGGGAATATATGCTGTATGGCCTTGCTGAGCTACATAGCACAAGAAAAGGAGCAGAGTGGAGAGAAAAACAACATGAGGAGGACATCACTTGGCACATTTTAGCCCACATGTTCCCTGGGGCATTGGTATAAATAGATGGAAAAACCATGAGTTCCTACATGCACATGGTAGGAAGTCATTTTGCCATGAGGATTCTTGATTAAGATGCTGTCAGTTTCCAGTCCATCCTTGCTGCCCTGTAGCTTGGACCCAGAAAGCATATGCTACTCTGTATGACAAAGCCCTGGAAGCACATATATATATGAGGTTATGAGGTATGTTGGATTTGCTATCAGTTAAAAACAAGCTTCACCCTGTAAAATCTATTTTATCCTAACTATTTCCAGTGTTATATGGGAGGCCTTCAGATAGAAAGATGGCTCTATCATAATGGTAATAAAGAATCGAACACATGAAAGCCAAACCAACAAGAGGAATGCTCTTATAAACAAAATGTGTAAAGTGTGGGAGGGGTAAAGTGCATGGGAAACAATTAGCCTCCTAAGAGTGGTTCCCAACTGGGTTGGAGTGAGGATTGCTCCCCAACACCTTTTGGGGAGCAAAACCAGGGCATTTTGGTTTTCACAAGTTGGGGAATTAGTATTGCTGAGTGTAGTGGATAAAGCCAGAGATGATGTGAAACATCCTACAATGGACTGAAAGACCTCTGTCGCAAAGTATCCAGCTTAGAGGGTCGCCAGTACCAACATGGATGCCGAAAGGAACAAAAGCAGCCTGGATTGCCTCAGCTCTGAGGAGTGGAGAGAAGGAAGCCAGTGTGTCCACTCCGATGGCATGCTACTGGGAAGTCATTAGGCTTCTCCCAGAGCAAGGGCACAACTTTAATTTACCCACATGCTGATACTCGTGTGTGATAAATACCAATCCCTAGTGTGTTTTGTTTTTGAAACAAAATCTTGATGTGTATCCCAGGCTTGCCTCGCACTTCCAGTTTTCCTGCTCAGCTTCCTGCGTGCTAGGATGATAGGCATGTACAACCATGCCGTGTATTTCTTTTTTTTTTTTTTCTTTCCTTTTCTTTTTGGAGACAGGGTCTCATAAAGCCCTTGCTGGACTAGAAACAACTGTGTGTGTGGCCAGGACTGCCCTTGAGCCGCTGACCCTCTAGAGCAGTGGTTCTCAGCCTTCCTAAGGCTGCGACCCCTTAATACAGTTCTTCGTGGTGTGGTGACCCCAACCGAAAAGTTACTTTCGTTGCTACTTTATAACTGTAGTTTTGCTACTGTTATGAAGAGTAATACTTTTGGAGATGGAGGTTTGCCAACGGGTTTTGACCCACAGCTTGAGGACCGCTGCTCTGAACCCACCTCCACTTGCCGGCGCCAGGATTACCATGCTCAGCTAATGCTCTGGTCCTGACTGAAATGGTTGAAATACTGAAACACGTATTTTGAATACCTTTTAAAAAGCCTGATAAGACACGTATCACGTGTTCCAGGAGCAGAAGTTGAACCGATGATGGCAGAAGAGCAGTGTGATATTTAACTGTGACCGTAGAATTGAAAGCCAGGAGCAGTATTTGGCAACATCTGCCTGCCTCTCTCTAAGCAGGCAATTCAGCAGTCAACAAGGGAACAGTGAGGAGCTAGTTGGGAACAGTTAGTTCCAGTTAATTATAGGCTGCTAGAGTTTATATGTCCCTTGAAATCTGCCCAGATAGGAAGGTTTCAGGGCCACGAAAGAGCCCTGTTTACGATCCCCCTCCTTTTCCAGTTTCTAGTGTAAACAGAGCGGGGAGGGGATGGCAGGGCTCATTTGTTTAATCTCTTTCAGCTGCACAGATGTCCTGACCTCTCCGACTTCCAGCAGAAAATGGCTAGCATTCTAAGCTACAACGAAAAGCTCCAGAAGGAAAAAGAAGTTCTCAGTGAAGAACTGAACAGCTGCGCTGATAAGGTAGTAAGAACAATAGATGTTCTTGTCCTTGTATACTACAGCGAGCATTTCCCCAGGGGCTGTGGCTGCTGGGTTTCCTGTATTAGTCCAAAGTTATAGGTGGAGTTATGTGACCCTGGACCTAGTGAAGTTGAGATCATGGCGTAGTCTCACTTAATATAGCATGATGCTGTTTGGTATGTAATATATAAAGCACATAATAGAAATACGGCTTTTATCCTCTGAGATCTATTTCATAGGCAAACACTATTTTTTTCTATTATATTTTTACCAGCGATACAAAGATGTTGCTGTCCTTGCTCCGCCTGCCTCATAGGCATTCTTCATTTTCCTGTTACAGTACACGCTTGAGATTTCCAGTTGCCTTTCAGCCCACTTCCTGCCCCCAAATAGGAGACACTGGGGGACAAATAGAAAAAGGAAAACCCAATTAGGAAGAGAAGCCTGACATTAAGTCAGATAGAGCCAGGAAAACCCCACCCCTCCTACCATCCCTGTCTGCTCCTCAAGGCAGATAGGCTGGTTCTTGATGATAATGGCAGACAGCCCCACTCCCCACCCCTACCCCTACCCTTCACCCCTGCCTGGCCTGCTCCTCAAGGCAGATAGGTCGGATGGTAGTGGTGGAAACTGTAAACTGGGTCTGGATTTGCTTACAAAAATGCTCTCCCACCCTTCTTCCCTTCCTGAAACAGTTGGCAAAGTCAAGCCTTTTAGAGCACAAAATTGCTACAATGAAGCAGGAGCAGAAGTCCTGGGAGCAGCAGAGTGAAAGCTTAAAGTCACAGCTGGTGACATCCCAGGAGAAGGTGCGTAGACAATTCTTGCTGCATCTCCTTAATTAGCACTGTCTGGTATTTTCAGCTTCCACAGCAAGGCCCGGAATATTCCAGAGGAGACTGGCCCAAGTGTAGCTGGAGAGTTTCTCCCCAGCTCCTACCTAGCCCCCGCAGTCCCGCAGCCCACTTATAAAATAAACACACCGACGCTTATATTATTTAAACTGTTTGGCCTAAGGGCTCAGGCTTCTTGCTGTCTAGTTCCTATATCTAAAATTAACCCATTTCTATTAGTCTATAAGTTGCCACGTGGCTCGTAGCTTGCCGGTACCTTACATCTCGCTTTTCATGGCGGCGGCTGGCAGTCACAGGGAAGCGGAGTGAGAGATGCTGCCAGCCGCCGCCATGAAAAGCGAGATGTAAGGTACCGGTAAGCCACGAGCCATGTGGCAACTTATAGACTAATAGAAATTGGTTCATTTTAGATATAGGAACTAGACAGCAAGAAGCCTGAGCCCTTAGGCCAAACAGTTTAAATAATATAAGTGTCGGTGTGTTTATTTTATAAGTGGGCTGCGGGACTGCGGGGGCTAGGTAGGAGCTGGGGAGAAACTCTCCAGATACACCCAAGTGGCCTCAGAATGATCGCATGGGACTTCATTTGAGACATCTTTACAATATGACAAAATAATTTAAACAGTGTGTCCATCAAAGCCGGTTGACTGAGAGATTGCTTCCTCTGAAGGTTTAAGGGCGGGACTTAAAGAGCACTGCTTGTTGGTAACCTAGGACAGGACTTCTGGAGCAAGTATGCACCCTCTTATTCTGAAAGCCCTAGATATGGACCTGTCTTTCACAAATTTAACTTGAACTGAAATACAGGTGAGATACTAGTGTAAAGTAGAATTCTGCAAGTATAAATGATTATTTTCAACCAAGAGGTCCTTTACAAACCGGCACCTCAGACTAAATTTAATTTCTCAAGACTCACTGCAAGTATGGTTGGCCATGGTAACTGGCATTCCTTGGTTCTGCCCCCAGCCCCGGGCAGTGGACTGGATGACCATGTCAGCAGTACCTGGCTTTATCTTTTTCTTAAATGTAACTTGACACCCTGTAACATATGTAACATCTTGAGTTTCCACTGGTTTTCTGGAAAGAGAACTAGATGTAGCAAATCACAACAGAGGGGGCCTTGACATTCTCTAGTTTATTCTTTCCTGGACATTTGAGAGGCGGGACGTGAATGTCTGTGTCACCGTGTACAATTGTTCTGACCGTGCAGGTTCAGAGTTTAGAAGACATCCTGCAGAGTGTAAACCTTCAGATGTCCCAGATTAAATCAGACCTCCAAGTGACTCAGCAGGAGAAGGAGGCGTTAAAACAAGAAGTGATGTCTTTACGCAGACAACTTCAGCATGCTGGCGACAAGGTCATTTCTTTTTTTTGTAATGATGCTATAAATCATTTTAGTCTATAATTTGATGGGTTTTGCATATATGTATCATGATGGTTTTGGTTTTTTGTTTGTTTTACCTATAGGTAATGTGTTTGTGTAGCCACTAACTACCAGGGGCAAGCGCTAAAACATTTCTGTCTGCACCCTTTGTCCTCTCCAGTTGATAACCCCAGGGACCCACTTAGGTACTCTGAGCCACCATAGTCAGGGTGCTTGCCTCTGAACCTCATATAAATGGAATTATAGTGATACGAAAAGGGTGGGTTGTTTTTTTTTTAAGACCAAAGAAGCTAAAAGACCATAGCTGAGTTGAGTTTTATAATAATACAACCAAAACATTTTCAAAGTTTAAATAAGAGCATGCATGGGAACCTACAAAACCAGCCAAGAAAAACAGTGAGAGAAATTAAGCTAGGAACACCCATCTCTGGGGGTTGGGGGATGGTGAAACTACAGAAAAGGAAACCTCTGGCCTAAGACAATGGTCCTGACTTAGAAGGCAGGTCAGGACTGCCAAATGGTTGCCTCTGTGGGAGCAGAGTGTAGGAAAGGCTGCTTGAGAATAGATGGCTGGCCTCCCTGGTGCCGCTGAAATCACATCTCATTTTAAATACCACAGAGCTGCTTAATATGTCCACACATCATTAGCAACCTTCCAAATGTCTGGTAAATGGTAAAATTCTCTTCTGTAATAAAAATAGGCCCGAATTCAGTTATTTTTTTTCTCTTGGTTGATAGTACTTAAAAATAAAATAAGGGCCGGGCAGTGGTAGCGCACGCCTTTAATCCCAGCACT